AAGAAAATTTGTTTTGCCAGCCTCATGCAGTTAGGTAGAAATGACTTAGTGCCCTAACAGTTTTTCATCTCAAATTAAGTCAATCCTTGATTATATATAATCATGGAAGGAATAATAGTACTGCCAATCTAAAAATACTCTCCATTTGGCTTTGTGACTTATTACTTCAAGGTCCATTTGGTTATGTCAGACCTACCACTCCCTGAATTTAAATTAGCTGGATTTTCCTGAGTACAGTGTTGAAGCAGCTGATCCAGAAATAGCTAGGGTCCTGGGACATGTCATGAATCCACAATGGCTAATTCAGCCATGGCTGACTGACCGGGTTACTTCACTGCTTCTTCCACTTTTCCTGGGGGATTATCAAATAGTTTTCAGAAACAGATAATGAGCAAACACCTTTTATTTTCACCTTGATATGATTTGTTAATCATGATGGCTGTCACATGACCTCGAGTGCAGGCAGAAAAAGAATGTAGGTATATGAGCTAGCCAACTTGCCCATGTTCAGCCCATGTGCATCCATCTTTCCACATTTTTTGTAACATCCCCTTCCCTAAACACAGCGCAGCATATCAGTGTGTGGGGGCATTAAACTCATTTAATGTCTACTCTGTGATTTGTGAAAGGGGGTAGGTGAGTATCATTATTTCCCCTTTACAGGCTCAAAATAATTACCATTATCCTCATTTCTCTGATCCAAGGTGCACTAGAGTTATTTGCCCAAAGATTCACAGTCTACATGCCTCATAGGATTAGCCCTTGCTCTCGGGGAACTTGACACTTCGTGTCGAGGCTCAAGGACTGAGTGTTGGTCTAGCCTATGAGAATAAGCAAGCTTATGGAGGCAGTTGACACCAGAGAAATTCCACTTGCCAAGGGAGAAGGATTTAAGAGAAGCTTAAGATACAGTAAAGGAAGACTTGGGAAGAAATCTCTTCCAGCCTGAAGGAACAGGAAATGTGGGAGTATGAGAAGATGAACTTGTGCTGAGTTGCTGAAAGGAACACGCTGGGACTGGAACAAAGATGATGAGAGTTGAGCCTGGGTGCTCATATTTTCAGTACAGACCCCATCCAAGCAGGCATGGCTATTTCAATGCTCAGGTCGCCACCAAAGCTTTATCCCTGGACAGAATTTAGAAATACCCGTAATATCTCGTTGTACACAGGATTCAGGGTCTTCTTCACCACGAGTGTTTTCTTCTTGCCCATTTTGCCTTTGTCTGGTAACAGATAGGTCTTTACATATCTGAAAAGGAAATGCAGGTAGACATGAAAATCAGAGAAGATAAACGTGATGTTTTTCACATCTACCTTTTAAAATACATCGAAAACTGGAGCAAAAACTATGTTGTAGTGCTGATAAAGCAGTAAGAAAGAAACGTTCCTGTCTACACAGTTATATTTTTAAATGTTCAACTGGATTAAGAGATTTTTAGTAGAATGGATCATTTAATGTTGTTTTAAAACTTTTAAGTGGAAATTTATTTTTTAACTTTACATTTAGGCTGCTTAATATAGCTCAAACAGGCCTCAAACTGAAGAGACTTCAAACTCTTCTATATATTTCTTAAGTGCTTGGATTATAGGTATGAGCCACCACCCCAGTCTTCAATTAATTTTGTTTGTTTGTTTGTTTTTTCCTTTTGTTTGTTTGTTTTGGATTTTGAGACAGGGTTTCTCTGTGTAGCCGTGAGTGTCCTGGACTCGCTTTGTAGACCAGGCTGGTCTCAAATTCACAGAGATTCACCTGCCTCTGCCTCCCTGAGTGCTGGGAATACTGGTGTGTGCCGCCACGACCCAGAAAATATTTATTTATCTATCTATCTATCTCTCTATCTCTATCTATCTATCTATCTATCTATCTATCTATCTATCTATCTATCTATTTATTATGAATACTATGTTTTGCTTACATGTATGCCTGCATGCCAGAGGAGGGTACCAGATCTCATTCTAGATGGTTATGAGCCACCATGTGGTCACTGGGAATTGAACTCAGGACCTCTGGTAGAACAGCCAGTGCTCTTAACCTCTGAGCCATCTTTCCGGCCCAGAATTTATTATTTTCCATTGGCTTTCCCAGTGGTGTGTGAGGGGAAGTAGGCAACTGACTTCTGTTGGGATCAGTAAGCAGGCACTTCTAGGGCCAGCCCCAAGGGACCTGACAAACCGGTTATCAGGCATTTGTGAAGACACCCTGACCACCTGGAATTACCTGCACATGCCCTGGGTCACCCTATAAGAACTCCTGGGGCCCTCCCCTTCCTCTCTTACTCTTACTCTCTCTTTCTCTCTCTCTGCAACCCCCCTTCCCCTAATAAGCCTCCCACGTGGAACCGATCTCGTGGTGTGATTTGTGAACCTGAGTGTAACCTCCACAGGCGCACAGGCATACGTTTCCCAACATTCTTACGTTTCCTAACAACTTCTAGTATAATGCTTAATTCTTTTGTTTTCTGTTGAGAAAAAGCTTTGGTGATTGTGATTTGTTATAAAACCAACAGAGGATGTCAATGAAGCTCTGCTGTGTGTGTGGTGGGGGGGTCAGAAAGGGGAGGTCCAAGGAAGTTGTTCTGTTGTAAACCTGATGACCTGAATTTGGCTCCCCAGAAGTTACATAAAAGCTGAATTGGACAGTGAGTATCTGTCTATAATCCCAGCACTTCCGAAATTATTTGGGAGGGAGAGACAGGAGAATCCTCTGGGAACTCACAGGCCACTTTCCCTGGAGTATGTGTGAAGCAGCAGAATCAACAAGAAAGACCCTGCCTCAAAACAAGGTGGAAGGAGAAAACAGATTCCTCAAAATCATCAGGTTTCCCCTCCGACCACCACCTGTATGCTCTGGCATTAGTGCGCATACACTCACACACATTTATATACAACACACACACACGTACAGAGAAAGAAAGAAGAGAGAGAGAGGACAGAGTGGGGAGAGGGCTAACCAAAATTAGGGGTGTGTGAAAAGTTTTGTGGCTATGGAAAGCCTTATGAATATCCACTGCTTTGTAAAATTATTTTAAAGGAAAACTTAAAGGGAGTTCGATGATGCCCCATGGGTTAACGATACCCCAACCTCTAGAAGCCACAAGTTATTAAGTGAAAAATCCCTCTGCCAGATGTGAATGATATAAATTGGACAGGGAGGTTCCAGAGCCACACCTCTGAATGATACGGGCTCCTACCATTGTTTTTGGATGGCCACTAGAACTATATACGAAGACCTGACTGCCTGAAGTCACCCCACACTTTGGTGGCACAGGGTAACAAAGCTGAAGGAGACCTGGAAGTTTACTCTGCGGGCTGGCTTTCCCAGGGTTGGAAGGTGCCATGCAAGCCACCAGGAGAAAAAAGTCGTCAGTTATCTTACCAGTAGTATACCCTGCATGATACAATACTGACCTACGAGGCAGAACCGGCCCACTGATGCAATAGTGCCATCAATTTTATAATGGTGACCAACCACTTTCTGACGGGAGTGGAGGTCTGTTCCACAGCACGTAATTCAGGACCGGGTGCTGTAGGCCCGTGTGGGGGCAGTCACAGGGGCACTTACCATAGTCATTTCGCTAAAGGAGCATGTTATCAAACTGCCTTCTAAATACTTGTGTTTATATCCACGGACCGAGCTGCCCTTAGTCTTGGTCAGAGAAGCTTCTTTTCGCAGTGGGAATTATCGCAGAGACTTATAAGTGATCAAGATGCTGGGAACAAGTGACTTTTGAGGTTTCCTGCCTAAACAGGTCATCTATACTAATGACCTCGCCCCACCCCCACCCCTACCCCAAGCTCAGGGAACATTGAGGGAAGAAGGGCAGAAAGAATATAAGAGCTGGAGGACGAAGAAGAGTGCTGTGAAACACTTGCCTGGACGTGACATGGGATTACGCTCATGAACTCACAGCAGCTGTGGAGAACATTGACATCCCAGAATAGGCATGAGGAAGGGCTACATGAGGTCTCACCCCTAACTGAGGAGCTATTGGCAACTGATAACGATGGGGAAGGAAAAGTTACTTTTCTTCAGGGGCATAGCCACTGGTAAATAACCCATGATGAAATATGGTAAAAGTTTATAAACGTGCAAACAACCCCAATTAAGCTCACATTTTGTTTTGTTTTTAAGAAACACATGAAAGTAGGAAGGCGACATGCTGGGATAAAGAAGGAAAGATCCCGGCGGCAGTGGGAAAGGGACAAGAGAAGGGGATGGGGAGGACAGAATAAGCTGAAAATGCACTGTATGCATATATGAAATTGTCAAAGAATAAATAAAAATTATTTTTAAAGATAAGAAACAGGGCTAGGGAAATGGCTCAGTGGTTAGGAGCACTTTGGCCCTCACAGAGGATTTGGCTTGGTTCCCAGCACCCACGTGGCGGCTCACAACCATTTTTCAGATTAGTTCTAAGGGATCTGATTCCCTCTTCTGGCCTCTGCAGGCACCAGGCTCTCACTTGGCTCATTCACACGCATGCAAGCAAAACACCCAAAAAGTAAAATAAATGTAAAAGTAAAAATAAATGTTCAAAAAGAAAGAAAAGGGGAACTTTTCACCATTTGATAGATATGCGCACTTCCTAACTTTTAGTGAGTTATATTTGGAATGAATGTGATTATCCACTCTACTCTGTAGTAAAACCATACATTGCTTTAAAAAAAAAAAAGTAAAATAAAATAAAATAAGAATAAAGAAAAAAGAACTGGAACTGATACAGAAAAAAAAATGGTTACAAATCAGACTTCTTCAAAGGTCAAGTGAAAAATGTAACAACCTTCAAATAAACTTAAATGCAATCATGCATTGGAGGGAAGACTTAACTTCATTGATTGCTCATTTGCTTTGAGACAGGGTCTCCCTGTAGAGCAGAAGCTGGCTTCCAACTCACCGTCCTCCAGCCTCAGCCTCCTGAAGGTGGGATTATAGATGTGCACCATTGCACCTGGCTTTGTAGGATATAATTTCAGTATGGCAACTACCCTATTATTAAGTCGTGAATATTTTCACAACAGTGAGCATTAGGAAGTCTGTTCTTTGTGCCTCTAACTTTAGAAGTGTTGAAAGGCTTCTAGAAGGAGCAGAGTTCTGGCTTTATTCTGGATTTTGCTGCTCTCTGACTGCATGCTTATGGCCTGCTTGTCTCTAATCCTTGTCTCTCATCTGGAAAATGAAAAAAAAAAAAAAAAAAAAAGCAGGACAAGATGGCCCTCCAAAGCCCCCTAAGCTGAAATATTTGGTTCTTCTTTGTATTTTTTTATAACTGAATGTGTGGCGTATGGATTTATAAAGTAACCAACTTTTCAAAGACCCCTTTAAACACAATCATACACAAACCCTCTCTTAGATCACTTTGATTCCTTGATTCCGGCCAGATTACCTGAAAACTAAGGATGGGAAAAAAATAAAAACCGGTGAGCTCCCTACCCTCCCACCCCTGTCTGTACTTACGGGTCTGAGCGCTGCTTTTTCGCATCCGCGGCTGCTAAGTCCTTACACTGGGCCACGAAAACGTGCAGCTCCTTCAGGGACTCCACGTAGTCGACCGCAAACTGAACGCTTCCTTTTACCTCCAGGTTGCCAAAGTCTCCGCTGTAAACGCTCATCACACTGCCACTCACCTGGAGGCACCAGAAACAGGCAGTGTTTTGTCTGCGGCTCATTTCTGACACCCCAGGGCAAGCGTCTCGGCCGTAGTCCCTGCTTGGCATGACTTTCCCAGCACGGGTATAGAAGCAGCTAATTTAATACGACAGAAGGTAAGACCAACACAGGCCATTTGGCACGATGCGAGTGACTAAGATTTATTCTAAGCTCTTCCTCAAAGACAGGCAGCCGTGCGATTAAAGGTTACTTAGATGCTAGTGTGTTTCAAAACAGGGTGCTTCTATGCTCGGCGGCATTCACTGTTAGCCATGCTCAGTGTTTAAAATGTTTAAAAAAAAAAAAAAAAAAAAAGGCTGTGAGAGAGAGACTCCAGGCACACGATAGTGACTCATGGCTTAAAATCCCATGACACTGAAAAGGCATTTTACCTTGTTTCTTATCCTCCGAATCTGGGAGAATGCTTGCTGAGCCATGCACTTTCAGAGTTCAGGAAGGGTAGACTATAGATGATTGATGAAGGGAACTTTAAGTCTTCCCAAAGCATAGATTATCAGGGGAGGGGTAGAAATCAATCTAAATAGATTTTTTAAAAGGGCTTCAGAAATACAAGGCTAGTAAGAATTTAAGCATGGTGTCGTTTGTCTAGCACACCTGGTGAGCTCTATGAATGTGTATGGATGATAGAAAAATGTTTAAATAAATCTATGACAATGCCATTCCATATGCATATTTCAATACTAACATGCACACAGAGCTACGTTGAGTTATGAGACAAATTCCATATAATCATGTTCACTTTCATCAAATCTGAACAGCTGTACTTCAGGAGCTTTCCATTTAAAAGACCTTTCTGGGTCCTTCCAGAAGGCAAGGAATTACTGTCCCATCCTCAACCCAAGTTCCAAGAGGTTCATTTAAAAAAGATAGGTTCATCTCTGTGCCTGCAAGTGGTATGTAAAGGCATGGCTGAGATAAGCAGGCTCTGTAATAGCTACCTTGTTTGTGCACAGAAAAACTGAGTGGATCATCTTGTTGCCAATTTAAAACTTTAAAGCACATCCAAAAGGTTTTTTTTGTTTTTTGTTTTAATTTATAATGTACATGAAACCCCACTTTCTATGAGAACTGGAAGGTATAGTTAGCCAGAAGCTAATTGCAAATTAAAGAAAATGACTGAGTTTCAGGGCTAAGACAAAAGGGCACTTTACAGTGAGCGGTGGCACAGAACGGCAGGGTTTAGAGCAGCAGAGAGAGATTAACATGGAGCTTTTGTTTACATACAGAGGACAAGGACGTCATGCCAGAGGAGCTGCTAAGATTGGTTAACGAGCTGGGGCTCTTCTTGTGTCGCCTGAGCTGGTAGCTGCTCTCTGATGCTGTATCTGTTTCTCTGTCATCACTCTACAAAACATCACATCACATCCACAATGTTTAAATTTGGAACAAGGCAAGGTCAGAATATATTTTAAGTTTGGAATGAGCTAGAGTCTATGTTCAGGAGAGGATGATATCTTGTTACACACTGATCTGTGACGTTCCCCAAGGGCAATGGCTGCTAGCGCTAATTGCTGAGCATTCGGGATGGAGTGGTTCTGGTCTGCAGTGGGCCTCACCTAAGGGGGCAGTGCCTTAAGGGAATAACGTAGTGATCTTTTCACCACGGTGTGGCCTGCAGATGCTGTGGAAGACAGCACTACTATGAGCTTTCTTGTCACGTTTTTAATATATCCGTGATTCCTAGAGAATATATATATATCATATATAATAAATATGTATCATAAAATAAAACATCATGAAATACTATCAAATCATAAAATACTCTGTTTAATTATTTCCATTCTTATTTTAGCTTTGGCTTTCTTAAAAATCAGAATTTTTACTTAAGATACTATTGAACTAGGAATAACAAAAACTAGTCTAACCTGTTTTAATTAAAATTTGTGTTTTGTAATGTAAAGCATCCCTTATGTAAGCCTAGAGTGCTGTTGTACCTATCCTTTTGTTGCTTTAGAAAAGTATGTTAAATTATCCATTCACTAGATTTCAGCATATTTCTTTAAAAAATTAAAAAGAGATAGAATACTTATTTTAAACATGTCCCAAAGAACATCTTCCTGGAACCAGGAAGAAAAACAGCAATGACAAATTCAATTGGATTCATACTAAAAGTTTGCTGAATGTTTGCTTATAAAGTTTATTATTCATCACGAATTTCATTTGGGGATTACAAGTCATATGGAACAGTGCAGTGGCTCCTAGGTTATGGAAGAATAGTTAGTTCATGCCAGCGTATTCCAGGACCATGCAATTACACATCACTATCTGGATACCAATTATAATGCAGATTAATGGAGGAGTTAAAGGAAAATAAATTAATGACTTACATGGAAAGGAAAGCAATCTTGTCTCGATTTTTTAAAAATCCATACCTTTTAAATATCTCTGATGTTACATTTTCTTTCCACATACTACACAATACATTCCCCTCTATCAGAAACACATTATATCTTCTACCGAGCATTCCAGATCAGTAATAAGTTATTGGGAGGATGGAGTCCTGTCTTGATGACTTGGAACAGCATTTTTCACATAGCTAGCACTCAACAAATGTGACTACGTTTCAAAGGGACAGCTGACAAAGGAGCAAGAACTGATTTCATCACTGAATCCTTTAATATCCAGTTCAAGCTACATGCTTTGAAAGGTAAAGTGATACAGTTTCATTCCAGTGTCTCTGATATACAAAACCAAATGTCCGGCTAGGGGCTGAGGCAGCAGGTTTTTTTTTTTTTTTTTTGAAGGAGAAACTTCAAAAAAAAAATTACTGGTATAATTCACCTCTCAAATCATATGTTTCACTCCTATGACCACCCAAGCCAGAGCAGATCTCAGAAGGTCGAAAACCACACACAGAAATTGTGTGGAGTTTATACTGGCTGGCATCCAGCCAAAGAGTTGGTTCTCCCCACAAAAATGAGTGATCTTTTTCCCCAAACTGCGGTAAGGGTCTCTTAAACATCTATAAGGACCAAATATTTGCAGGTGCAATTCACCCAAAGTTCCTAGTGGACAGAAGGGTACACACAGTGGGAATGGGGTGTTTTTTAGATCTTACTCAGAACATTGCTCATATCCTGTCTTCTAAGAAAATTGGCTTGAATATAAAGCCTTTCATTTCCCCCTCAGAAACCAGGGCAAAACCTAGAATCACAGATGCTAACCTTTACTGAGTGTTCACTATGTTCCAGGCGCCATTTTGTGTGTCTTCTCTGCATTAGCTCACTCAGTCCCAACAACCTCATAGAACAGATACTCAAAACCAGACACACTGAAACTAAAGAATTTCTCTGTTCCTGGTAATACAGCAATTTAGCTTTATAGCCAGAACTGGAGGTGTCTTACCACAGACCACAGGCTTCTAACTATGTGACAGCAACAAACTGGGATCTTTCTAAGACAAAAGACCTCAGGGCAAAGTCTTAGATCTACCTGTTTTAGTTGCTGGGTGTTTGGAAATTAACGAGCATTGAGTCCTAGTACATGTTCTGTATGTGATGAACTGTAAGAGCATAGCTGTGTTCTTATAGGGTATGGCATAGCGCTCAGCAGCCTGGGAGTCAGCAGCCTGGGAGTCAGATCTGGTCTCCAGTCTCCAGTCTGACTGTGCGAGGCTACCTTAACTCCATAGGTTTTGTTTTCTCACCTGTAATATTTGGGGATAATGGAGGTGCCTACCTCCCATGGTCACTGGAGAACAAAGATGAAATAATAAATGTAAAGTCCATGGAACCTGGTAGATTCTCTTGAAAGTTTGTATCGTTATTACCTTGTTATTTTAACAAGTGCTTTGGGAGTAGCCACTCCTCCTAGACCAAGCTTTTACAAACCAGATCCATAGTTAATTTATGCAGCATGTTTCTCCCCAGATGTTCTATTTTATAGCTACTTTGAAACAAAAGTTTCACATTTCCAAATCTATACAGTCTGACTTCATTGGCCAGATAACTACTGTTTGATTGAAATGAGACATGCCTTGCCCTGTCCCTGGATCAACAACACTGCTTCCATTGACTTGGGAGACAAGAGCCAGCCCCACTGACCTCTCTGGTCTAAACCACAGTCGAGTACAGACAGCCCAATGGTAGAAGATAAAAAAAAAAAAAAAACATACATCAGGCTCCATTTCCCCAAAGGTTCAAAACATGAACTTGCCTCATCTTGAAGAAATGCTGGAACGGACTTGCTCATCCTTTTGAGTTTGTCAGGGTGGGAAAACTGATTATCAGGCAGTGAAGGCACTGTGGAAACTAGAGAGTAGCATTTCGATTTCAGAATTACTCACAACCACCAGACCGTAGGCACGAGCTGAAAACACACTTAGCTTTCATGTATGAATGGTGTTTGGTATGAAGGTTAAACATGTAGTAGTTTGCATGCAAAGGATCATAAGGTAAGAGACATGCAGTTTGTGTAAGCTATACACACAGAGAGAACTCAAAGGGAGTTGAACCAAATACCAAATGAAAACAAAACAAAACAAACAAACAACAAAACTACTACCTCCTTTCAACTCATGTTGGTCTTGAATTCTATTATTTACCAAGCATGATGGCTCAGGCCTATAATCCCTGAAACGGGAGTGGCTGAGGCAAGAGAATCACTGTAGGCTTGAAGCCATCCTGGGCCAGTCTGGGATTCAAAATGAGACTAACCATGGTGTCAAAGAGACCCCTGCCTGCCAAAATAAACGGATTTTACTCATTATTTTTTCCACATCATAGCTTTGAACCTCAAGTGCTGTCACGTACTGGTTCATCTCCCTGCCCCACCAAGATCCATTACATTTCTAACATGCTGCAGGCTGAAAAACTATTTCATTTGCACAGTAAAAAAAAAAAAAAAAAATGTTCACAACTTAACTGTAAGGATCCTTGGCTATGGAATGCCTAAGACCGGGTTTGTTCACTTAGTGATTATGAAAATTCCTATTCTCTGTGTGTGTGTGTTTATGTGTCTATGTGTGACACCCACATCACACCCAGATCCGATGGTGGTACTGAGCCAGAACTGTGAAAGACTATAATGTTAAAATAAATTGTTTTAGTCAAGTGTGGTGGTGCATGCCCTTAATCCCAGCTCTGGAGACCCAGGCGCAGGAGAATTTTTGTGAGCTGAGGACAGCCTGGTCTACATGTCAGCTTCCAGGTCAGCTAGGGCTTCACAGAGAGACCCTGTATCACACACACACACACACACACACACACACACACACACACACACACACACAATCATTTAAAAATATATTTAGATACCAAAGAGTTTCCAGTATAACAGGGCCAGGTTTAAACAGTTCAAGTTAATATGCTCTGCTAACTGACTAAGAAAAGATAGCCCATGACTTCTTTCTGATACAATGGTATATGAAAAGAAGGCCTAATTAGAGGGTGAGCTTGAATCCTAATTTGCGTATCTCCAGAAAGCTATTATCTTCTTTTGTACATGAAGCACAATGTATAAGCTTTTGTTATGGTTGGTAATAGCTCTTACATGAAAGAGTTTCTATTTCAAGGAATTCTACAGGACCTGGTGTATGCTAGTATGCTGTATAAGTATTTTTAAAACACTAATATTTCTGATACCTCATCTTCAAATTATGTCTTGAACACAAATACAAATATATTAATTTGGCTTTATCCTTAAAATTGCCATCAGGAAATACATATGAATCAAATCACATTTCTCTTCACAACTCAAAAGGCACAAGTTTAACCTTAAACATGAGTTAATCTAATCTTTGTTGAAAGAAATATAATGAGGGAAAAACAAAATTGAGCTGCATATATTGAATTTATGCTTATTCCCATCAGTTCTCTCCCGGGTTGAGGCTCACAAAGGTAAATACATACACCAAATCCATTCACAGTGTCTCGTTAGAATATTCACTGTGCCATTTCATGTGAAGTTAATGTGTGTGTGTACATGTATGTGTCTGTGTGTGCACATCTGCATTTGTGTATCTGTGTACACGTCAGTGTGTGTGTGTGTGTGTGTGTACTTTCAAGTAAGTTACTGTGGAAACAACTCAAGATTAGGTCATGTCCTGTGTATGGTACAATAAGATTATAAAAGCCATTTTGTTGCATCATTTTGTTGCTGGATAATATAAATAGGTCAGATTCGGTTACACCCACAACTCAAATGTAAAAAAAAAAAATTCATATTTATGAGCTTCAGTTATTTATTTTTAATCATACTTTCATTTTTTCTTATGGTAAAAATATGTTATTTACTAATGAAAAGTTACTAATAATCAATTTTTTAAAATTGATAAGAAATGAATTTACCTACATTACAGCACACAATTGATCTATTAAGCCATGAATGAAGACAAGAGATATAGATGCATATATCCATGCCTCAGACAAAACATTAAACAAACAGCAACCTAAAATCAGATGCCCAAACCTAGGCACATCCCAGTTCAAAGGAAACAGGAAAGGTCTCTTTCTCCACTAACATCTTCAGGCAGAAACTCGCCTTGTCTGCAGCTGCCAGACAGAGCCGCAGCCTCAGAGCCAGGCCTGTATTGCCTTCCTTCCTAGGCAGCTCCTGAGAATTTGTCAAGTCATGTGCCAGAGCTCAGGGCCTTCAGGAAGACCTCACATCTCAGATTTCAAGCCTTAGTGATTCCCAGTATCAGCACTTTGTTGCTCCCTCAACTGGCTCCTCCGCCGAGAGGCTCTCCTCTGGAGGCCCATTAGCTTCTCCAAAGGCTGTTGGGGGTGGGGGGCTGTTATACAAAATACTGTGGGCCCAGGGGCAGGCCTTGGTAGCATTCGCTTCACTGTCTACATTGTAGACGAATGTAGACATTGTCCAGTGTCTACATTTACGAAAGAGGGGAGGTGACAGTCATGCAAGCTTGTCTGTATGCTGTGTCAGCCCCCAGAGAGCCACTTTAAAGATATAATTTGCCCTTAAGGCAGTGGTCATACCTATGCAGAATAATCTTAATTCTGAAAAACTGTCCTCTGGTGGATATAAATTAGTTGATGGACATTAGTAGCAAAAGTATATATTTATTTTGTTTAGATTCAAATGTTCACTTTAAAAAAAAAAAGATTGAGAATTTACTATTCAGAACCACTTTAGAACCTCAGAATTTAAACCCTTAACACAACAAAATTTACTTTTATAGATATTCAGGGAGATGTAGCCAACCATACTATTCATGAACTGTCAAAGCACGTTTCTTTTGGGGGATCCAGATAAGCAATAAATTGCTTTATGACTCCTGCTGTGTAAAAGTTAAAGGGGCCTGAAATGCACAACTATAATGCAACATAAAAGGGAACTATAAAAATGTACCCATTCGATTTTGAGCAAAGATTCAAAGAACAGAGTAGGAGAAGTTAATAACATCAATAACAATATATGTAAACTTAAGATATACAACTCTCCTTTAGTGAAAGCACATTCCTTTGGCATAGGCAGCAGTAAACAGTTTTTAATATGCCCTTATCAGAATGAAATAGCGTTTTTGGCAAGCTTCAGGAATATAGTGATAATATATAGGTGCTGTGGTGTTAATGGATTAGCTCATTAGCATAGTTAATGTTATACAGAATGAAACATTTAGTCATTTATGAGAAATGTCCTGCTACTCACTTCCTGGTACACACTCATTTGTATCTGGCTCCTGGTCCGCTTTCTGATCTACCCAGAAGAGTAACATTGAGAAGAAATGCCATTTCAATGAAGGGTTAAACAGACATGAAAGCAAAACTCAAATGCTCGTTTCACAACTGAAGCTGCAGAATTATCTGACAGGGTTTCAGCTTGTTGAGTCTCAGTTTGACCCTTCGTTAGCTTCTTTACAATCTTCTGTTCGATTAAAAAAATCTTAAGACCCAGCCCAGAAGACCCGAGCTTGCTTTCCTGTCAGCTGCTCAAGCACAGCATGGACACAGAAGCAACACCCGGGCCAGGAGCCCGCAAGTTGCCATACCCTGCTCCTTCACTGACCGAAAAGCTGCACGATCGTGAAAAGGTCAGCTTATTTTTCTGACCTTCAGAATAAAAACTAAAATTATTTTCTCATTTGTTTCAACAAGGTGGTTGTAAATATAAAACGAGGAAACCTAACACAAAAGTTAAGAAAAAAAAATACCTCCTAGCTCTTGTTCAGCATTTTGCATAGTAAGTACATATTTTGATGATTATACCAAGAGCAGCTTACAGAAATTAACAACTGTTGGCAAATAAAAATCACGCATTTGCTTAAGTCCTGAACTGTAAGAGTGAGACTCACTTCTACCCTTCCCCCACCAGGCCTCCATTATACCGTTAGTTTATAACAAAAGTAATACATGACCCGTTGACATGCTCCAAGAGCTTCCGGCTCCTTAATATTTGAAACCAATGAATCTCACCCTCATCCCATACTCATGGATAATCAGAGGCAGGTTTCTCTACCCTCATCCTGGGGCCCTTTCCTTTGAAGTTAAGAGCTATCAGTTGTGCCCAGAGCAATCTAAATGCTTCGATAAGAGAATCAAATACAAGAATAATTTAACCTAGGATCCCACTCAACTTTTTCCACCTTCAGAGAGTTCTGCAAGTCAAAGTAACAGAAATTAGCTCGTACCCACAGAAATATAATTTCCTATTTATAGAAACCCTAGCTTGCCGAGTGTCTCTCCCGAGATCCTCACGCCATCACCAGCAGGAGCTAAGAACATAGGCAGTATTAAATGCAGCAAGTCAGAATGCTTTCATAACTTAGGCACTATCGGCTGCATACTGGCAAATGACGTTCTTCTATTTATCCAACAGCTGCATCCCGGTGACTGCCCAAACCATCCCAGAAACTTAATACACAAACAGACATGCAGACACATAAAGATATTTACCATCTTCAGCACTACGTACTAAGTCTTCAGGCAGATTATCTACTTTTGCTTGATCTGTGCAGGAAAAAATTAACAAATGAGAAGAGCACAATGTGACGGTCCCTGGAAGCAACCCGGAGTTGGAAGCAATTAATCAAGGTGCAGTAAGGGGTGCAAACAAGATGTCTTCCCCCCAAATACTTTCTCTTTAGATTAGCCACTTGAGCCAGTGCCTTAGCAGGCGCTTCCATTTCGGCATGATGCGCAGCTCACATCAGCCAACTGCTCTGCACTGACTCCCAGGGGTTAGAGGGTTAGACTCAGAGCAAGCAATCCGCTGACAGCAGGGGAAAGCACAGGGCTGAAGCAGCCTCTCTATTCTTCCGAGGAGGGTAAGACTCTGCCCGTGACTAACACCTTCCCAAACCTATGGTCGTTAACAAATATTTGTGTACGTGCATGATCGTTTGCAGATGCCCCTGGGAGGCTGGCTTGGGAAGCCAGCTGAAGAGATGCGACTGGGGACCAGCTGCCGAGTGGAATCTTGGCAGGCTAGTGTGAGAGTGGGTATCGGTATTTGGAAGAGAGAGTTCAGGAATACCCGTCAGCTGACTGTGGCTGTTTTGTTTTGATTTTTTTTTCCTTTAACCCTACACATTCCTGAGTACTTTAAAGCTGCACCATGGAAATATCCCTATACTTCTCAGACAAAAGGTTTTTGTTTTCTTTTCTCTTTGTTTTGTTTTACTAAATAGGACAATCGTTGTCTTTTTTTCTTCTTCTTCCCTCGGTGCCCATCACTGACATAAGGAAGGACCATCAGAGCTGTCCAACAAAGGATTGGACTAGCCTGTTCTGGAAGCATGCAGGCAGATATGGGGGTTGGCCACCTGCTGAGGAGACTTTAAGGGGAATTCTGATGCTGAGAGGTTGAAATGAGTGACCTTCAGGGTCCCTTCTACCCTCAAATTCCAAGATACTTGAGAGCTCCATTCTGAATTGGGAATACTGTCTTCCACACCATGAAAATCTCTGAATTTTATGAATTTTTTTTTGGGGGGGGATTATTTTCTTCTATTTAAAGCCTGACTTTTGTTTAAAATCTCAAATTGCAAATACTTAAAACTTACTCTAAGCCCGACAATATCGGCAATCATTTGAGTCTGGCAGTGGTTAATTTTTATTTAACATTTTTTTTTCATGGCCGTCTGTGACCCCAGGACAGATCATCACTTCAAAATAGTAGGAAGAAAACTCCAGCGGCCATGCCTTCTAAGTCCGCTGGTCTGGCACATGAGTCCCAATGTACATTCTTCCACTTCTAAAGACCTCCCTCCTTCACCAGTTAAATCAGCAGCCTGGGTGAAACAGGACCTGATACATCACTTCATGCTAGTCTTGGGCCAGTACCAAAAGAAGTGAACTCCAGGTTTGGTGAAAGATCATGCCCCAATAAAAAAGGGAACAGTGATCAAAGAAAACAACCCATTATATATGTGAGTAGAAAAGAAGTGATCAAAGAGAACTGAAAGTTCTTGCAGTAAGGGACTAACTAAATTCCTATCATGAGGAATTTATTAGGCACCCAACACTGTCATATGTGATATGGTCACTTTGTGAATACTATTGATAGTAGTCTATTTTGAGCTTCAAGTCTACGATCTAATATGAAACAAGGCATTTGACCTCTTAAATTCCATTTTCCTCTGTTATGAAATGACGATAACAATTCCTCTCTCAGGGACAGGTACTTGTGGAAAATCCTTAGACGATTTGTTGAACGTAATATTTAATAGGCGCTATGAGTACAGATTCCACTAGCATTACTATGCACTAGCTAGTACGATTCTTTCAAACTCACTCTCTGTGTATTTCCTATTGGATTGTGTGTGTGGTGTGTGAATATTCACATACACACATGCATGTAGGTATGCAAACATAGGGTGTACAGTTGCCTGTGGAGGCCCAAGGTTGAGGTGGGTTGTTTTCTTTGGTCACCCTCTCCTTTGTTTATTGAGGCATGGCCTTTCACCAAACCTGGAGCTCACTGACTCAGCTAGTCTGGCTAGTGAGCCTGGCCTGGGGCTCCCTGGTCTCTGCCTGTCCATTGCTGGGATTACAGACGTGTTTCCACGCCCCCTGCTTTCACGCAGGTCCTGGGAATACAAACGACAGTTCCCATGCTCGCACCTGAAGTACTTTATCCACTGGGCCATCTCCCCACCTGGTGTGTTTTTAAACACTAAAGCTGGGATATAACAGGTCAAGGAAATCTAATTTTCTCATAATTAGACATCACGAGTTATCCTAAAAGCAACGTTCCAGACACTGAAGGGCAAGCCACTTGAGCACACGTGGGAAAGAACAGTCGCCTCTGGTAGCAGCTGCACTGGAGGCTTCCGTGCATGCCAGCATGCAGTGGGGCCACAGAGAACACAAGCGTGTTTAAGCTTGGGGGAGGCACAGGCGGCGGGACAAACTGAAATCTCACTTGATGGGTCTGATGAAATGTCTTGTAGACTTTTGCAAGGCATTTTCCTAGCAGCACTCCTTTCCAGAGTTTTCAGAACTGGACTGTGTTCTTCTTCTGAACCTGTCACAAGACAGAACCGATGAAGGCTGCACACCACCAAAGCCAAAGCTCCTCAGTGAGCAGAGGGCACTGGACTACAGGTTGAAAAGAGAAATTTCACATCAAGCCGCCCACCCTGCTTCCCTCTAAGCACTTCACAAAAGAAGTGAAAATATCTCTTCTACCAACAGGCCCTTCAAAAATACTTCTCCGGGTTATTTACAAGCATAAACCAATAGAACTGAGGTGGCCAAATTAATACAAAAGTACTCTCTGAGTTATTCACACTTCTATTTTAGGCACATGGTTTATTGAGCTACACTTTGAATCTTCCCACTTAACATTCCAGTTTTTGAAGACAGCCATGAAAAAAAAGTTAGCAGAAAACCACAGAAGTCAGGATTCAGATGTTTAACATCTGGGTACAGCTGGACACTCTGATGGGTAAGTTCTCCAGATCAATAGATGTAGGCTTTCTAAATTTTAAATAAAAAAAGGAACCAACTTTTTATTTAACTAAAGTATTTTAAAGGGGAGAGAGGACTTCATTATTTAAGGATGCCTTTAGATATATAAATATTATATTTTCATTATATAGAAAGATGTTTTATATAATATGTATATACAATGCATTATATATTATATTTAGGTACTATTATGTACACTTATAACTAAAATAAAAAAAGGGGGCATGTAATAAGAGCAGTCCTCAAATGCACATGACTTTACAAAATGTTTAAACTGTCCCTAATGCTTTCATTCAAACACTGAAAAGTTCATCATGGATAAGTCCCGAGTATTAACATTTATGACTAGAAGAGTCACCAGTGTACAGACTTCAAAAATATGAGCTGAATCATCAAATGATTCAGTCACTCAATCTGACAATTGATCAATCAGTTTACTTGAGAACCACTTTTCCAGGAACTAATTTCCTGGAATGCATTCCAGATCTGCTCAGTGTGCCCAATATGCACCCTACAGCAAATGGGTTCTAAGAAAAATTAAATTCAGGGTGCCTTTTGTTCAGAGTACTTCCAGAAGCATTTGGCCATGGAACACTGTCCCTGCCACCCCTAGGAAGATATTAAAGCAGTAGTTGTTTAAGAACTTAGTCACAAGTCCAGCATGGCACTGCTCATCAAAGCAGGTGCCCTGTAATAAGTTTCTTCCCCACTGCATCCCAATATTTCCTGTCCATTGGTATTAAAGGCTATAAAAAGCATGAGAAACTCATAGTTTTAAAATATCCTTTTGAATTCTGTCTTTGACTAATACCATTCCTTACTTTGATAGGTGGTCATTGTCCAACAGTAAGATACTGCTATGCTACAAGGATGACTACACACATTGCATTAAAGTTTCTCTATTAAGTGCAGATTCACAAATCCCATATAGCCAGTTTTCCTCCCAACTCAAAGGGCATTTTAGTAAGAATATACCTCAACAGAGTTAGTGCGATTGTTTTATTTATGTGTACATTTGGTTTTAGAAAATAGTTCGTGTTTTAAAAAAATATTTTATTTTATTTAAAAAAAATAAGCAACATTTGTTAAAAGAGCTTAAAGTTGATTGATTGCGATCCCATGTAGAACCTTTGGTCAGTGGCCAAGAAAGGATGCTATAGCTGCTTGCCAAAGAACTCACACCTCACAAGCCAGCCACTTAGTAAAGCTCATCTCGTTCCATTGACACTGCCAAACCACAAGGAAGACGATCAACTGCAGTGAAGCAGTTTTGGTTCGAATGCCCCAGTCTGAGAGCACCCTCTGCTGCCTCATTGCTCTAATGAGACCCCAATTTGCTCTGGGGTCTTTCTGCCAAAATGCCCAAGAGCTGATAAACATCAAACTTGAGTATGTTTGGTTGAAAGCAGACCCCTCGGTGCGCTCTGATGAATGTGGCCATCGAGGAAAAGCCTTCAAAATTTAGCCAAGGTGGCAGAGCCAGGCAATGCCATCAAGTGGGATCAGGTGACCTCATCTGCCTGAAAGCATAATTGAGATGGTGGTTCTGCAGGTAAATGGGAAGAGAGAGGAAGAAGTATGGGGTGGGGTGAACCATAGCACCAAGAGGGAAGAGAGGTTGCTGTCTTGTATTTTTGGCCATCAATGTTAGCTGCAACTGTGCTGAAGCTCTGATCCTAAGTGGTGAGTTTGTGTCCATTTGTGGTAGTTTCTCAGCATGACTCTTACTAAAGACATCTGTGAGGAGTGCCAGTTGAGAATTCTTAATTAATTGCCAAGAAAACAACTGGTTTACATATCTGAAAGACTCTTGCTATTCCTCCCCCCCCCAACAAGTTATTTTAAAATACTGTTGGATTCTGAAAAAAAAAATTATAGATTTGATGAGATGATTCTGAAACATAGCCTTGTGAGGAATCTGGTTTTGTACAAATGATCCTAATAAAAAAGAATATTGATGAAGTGGCCTTTTCTGATTAAGAAAAGGTTTAGGAGAACTAAAAAATTCAAACAAACAGAAAGAGAGTATCATCATGGGGGAATATCAAATTGACCCCAATCTTTAAAAAAGTCATCCTTCACACACGTATCCCATAAAGCAGACTCATCATGAAGTAAGAATTCCAGGCCACTCACTGGAGGTATTTCTCCAGCTCTCCCCGTTAGAACTGGTGTTCCCATCTGAAAACTCAGATTCAGGGCATGCCTCTAGTCCGTGCTCTTCCTCTTGTCTCTTATGCGGTGCTGCTAGCATAAGTTTAACTTTGCTCATTTTTGTACGGTTTCCTTTTGTTCCCAGGAGCGCAGTGGATTGCTTATTTCTGGACACACCCATTTCTTTTGAAGCTTCTTCAAAACCCGGTTCCTGAGGGGCCTGGGTTCCTCCTACAATAACTCCTTCTCCATCCCTGCCCTCTACAAATCGTGCAGTTTCAATGGTCTTCATTTCCCGGTCTTCATAAAGTTGCAAATGTTCAGGGACCCCAAAGCCACTTGTGTGACCCTGAGCATCTATTGATGGGCCAGCCACAGCTTCATGACCTCCTAATAGTTGATCACACTCGTTGACTTGAGATTTCAAGCCAGTACACTTAACCTTCATTCTAGAGGCTCCTGAGGCATCCCAAGAAAGATGGGGTATTTCTCCCAAGCACTTGGCTTGCTCTGACTGTGAAGGCCATTTCTCCAAAGTGTCTCCTTCCACTGAGAGCGGCAGCTGACAAAGCCCTTCAGATATCTCTTTAAGAAGTTTCTCAAAGCCAACATCAAAAGTACTCTCCGTTGCTGATGGAACCTTGGCCCGCTCTACGGTTTCTTGTATTTCTGTAGAATGGAATTCAGAAGCAAGTTGCTGGGACATCTCACCACTACCTGTTATAGCTGATGGAGAAATACTCACTGTATCCTTTTCATCTTTTGACAGGGAAGTTTCTAGTGTTTCCTTCAATAGTTTTTCTAAGCCAGCCCTAAATTCAGGGCACTCTAACTTGGGCTGAATAACCGTTTCCCTCACACTCTCTGCCACTTCCTGAAGTAGCTCTTGGGCATAAGGAGTGACAGTAGAAGCAGGTGAACTAATGATGTGTGCTGATGGTGACATTCCAGAGGACAAGTAAGATCTGTCTTCATGAGTTGTATCAGGAACTGTGCAAAAGGAATGGAAGTCCGTATTTGGAACAACAGCATCTGCAGCAGCCCACAGGGGGCTCACTCCCTGAGGACAGGAAGGTCCATATGGTGTTTGCACTCTTTCAGGAAGTTGGGCTTTGGTGTCTCCGGCTTCTCTAAGTAGCCTCTGTAACACAGCATTTACATCCATCATTGCTGGTTTGGAGGCAAGAACAACTTTCTCTACAGCCTCTGAAATTTCACGCTGAGAAGGCAATGAGGCATCCTGGGATCCAAGAGGAGCATCCCAAGATAAAGACATATCTACTGGAGAACTGGAAACTCCCTCCGAAGAATGGCAAGGCTGAGCCAGTGAAGGAGACCATTCTGCAGCCGACCGAAGCATACCTTCTGTGTTCCCATGTTCATCCTTGTGGGTGAGGGCTGTACAAATTTCAACACCCTGGGGAAAAGAAGCTGTTGTCACTCTCTGGTCTGCTGAAGGACGGTGATTCTCTTTTACCTGCCTTTCAAACAATCTGTCATCTTTAAACGGGGAGGTGGGTCCAGTAGTGACAGGTTCCAGAGTGGACTGCAATGGAGTTCTAGCCGCTTCCTGCAGGAATCTGTCCACACTAGAGTCCTGTTGAACTCTTCTTTGGGGTTCACTGGGGCTCTTCTTGGGCCCTGTAACACCTTCCTCTTCCTCAGCAAAGCTTTTCTTTTGAGACCATGTCCTATTTTCAGAAACACCTCCCCTGAGTGCTTGCTGTCCATGAACTTTCTTGCCAGAAGTCTGGCTTGCTGGTGACACAGCTTCTGCCAGCAACTTCTGTAACCTGTCATTGAAGGTGTCTTTGGAGACTTCAGGCAAAATGCTTGTTTTCACTATGGATTCTTGAATCTCTTGATCTGAACAAGGCTTTTTAGTCACTGGAGTAACAAAACATTCTGTACTTTTTCCTACATTTTCCTTTGAAGGCTCATTTCCTACCAACTGATAAGTGAACTTCCTGGGTGGTTTTCGTGGAAATGTGGTTTCATCTGGTGGCACTTGAGGTGCGCACTTTGAGTTTAATTTCTCCATCTCTTCCACTGCCATAACATTTCCCTGTCTTAAATGTCTTCCTTTTTCTACTTCGTGGGTATTTTCTCTTGATAATTTCATGCTGTTAAACTCCTTGGATTTCTGGCTATTATATAGCACAGAGTTTTGTTTGTTTGCTGCAGTGATATTGTCATCATTATCTTTTCTGTTTACATTAGCTCCCAGGCCCCAAAACTTTCTCAAATTCTCAAACTGAGAGTGATTATAGACTTGCTCTGTATTGGGTCCTTCCATCCTTTCTCTTAGGGACAGAACTTTAAAGCTGACATTTGATTTATCAATTACAGATCTATCTTTCTCCAAAGAAGGGTGCGCTTCATTCCCAGTAGTTTGAAGGAGCAGAGACACTTTATCCGATTGGTTAGCTGAAGGATGGTTTTTGGATGGACCTGATGTTGAATGTTTGGTTGTTGTGGGTTTATTTGAGGAATAAAGACTGGAGAGATGGGGCGTTTGGTCATCCTCATCAAGGACCACTAGTTTAGCAGTGACTCGACTGTAGTCACTCTGGCCTGAAGACAAACCACCTGGAGACATGACCTGCGACTCCACGGGCTGCTGTGTTCTAGCAGAAGATGGCTCCTGGCTACAAGAAGATGTGAGTTCACGCACCTTTAACTTAGCGCCAGCTTTTCCTCCTTCCCAAAAGGATATTCTGTCACTCACTGGCTTGTATTTTTCCCTCAGCACTTGGTGTTGGGGATCCTCAGTGGCTTCTTCTGGGCCCTTGGGCTTCTTCCAAGATGATCCACTGTCCGCAGCCCCAAGTGGGAACTCACTATTCTCTGTTGTTAGGCGAGGTTTTACAAGGGAAGTATTTCTGGTTTTGCTCTTCCTCTCCATATCGTCTTTCAAATCAGATCCTAGAGCAATCGCTGAGGAGTCGACATTCAGATGTGTGTTCCCCTGACTTTTCTGAAGCACATGAACTTTGGGTTCCTCTTCCCCTAAGCTGCTGATATGTTTAGTGTCCCATGGGGCTTGGGCTTCTGAATCAGATCTTTTCAGAGCCCTGAGCAGGTAGTTACTGTCTGCAGGAAGCATCCCTCCTCCTTCTGCTGTACTCTCTGAACCTTGGCCACACTCTATGTTTTCACTCCTGTGACCTGGGATTCTGTAGCTTTCAAATGGTTGCAGTGTATCTGGACCTTCCTTGGGGGTGCCTTGTTGGGACAAATTCTCTGAGTTAGATTTGAGAAGTGCATCACTGTCGTGGCAAGTTTCAGAAACCAGCATATCTCCCTCTTCTTGGACTGTAGAACCAGCCCTCACAGGCCTCCACTTAATTTTAGTGGACGGTGGGACGTCTGAGTCGTTTTCTTTTAGGCAGGCGCTGTCTGTCATCAAGGCGACAGTCATCTGTGACTTTGAGTCTGTTTGCTGCCCGAGATCTATTTCTTGGAGATGTTGGAGAGCTGATACATTGTCCTCTGTAGGAGAACTTCGGTTAAACCAGTCTAGGACTTTGGATATGGAATCGTCAGTTGTCTTTCTTATCTCAGCAGCACATGGGACCGTGTGTGAGGGTGTCTGAGCACCGAGAGCCGCGAGAAAGGGCTTACCTTGCTGATGGTCTCTAAAACTGTGATCTGACGTCTGAAACGGCTCAGGCTCAACACACGGAGTCAGTTCATCTGCAACACAGAAATGCTTTTCTAAATAAGATAATGTGTACGGGACCGTTATCCAACCGTTCATACTATCTTCTAAAAAGGCCACTTTCGACCATATCCGCTGCTCGTACTCACATCTTTCAGGAAGTTTAGTAGAATGAGGTATTTGGTTAGAAATAGTCTATTTAATTAGAATAAGATATCCTAATTAACCCTTCTGTCAAAAGTGCCTTGTAACAAGGGAGGGCGCAAACACAGACCCCCTTAAAGTAGCATGGAGAGGCACTTGAGAAATTTTTTTGGATAAGTTTGAAAAATCACATGAGTTTTACATTCTGCTCCCCATTCTATTTTAAGCATTAATCTTCTCCAACTTCCAAATATTTGCAAGGAACTGAAAATCCAGAAAGGTATGTCCCACTGGTTTTATGGCTTTATTCATCCAGTGGGAGATTGTCATAAACCATACAGGAAGCTTTGAGAAGCACAAATTGAAGCAATTTCAGGAGTTAGAAAAAAACAACTTTCAAGTAAGACTAAACAACAAATTCTTTCCAGAACATTTGGATAAGAAAATGAGAATATTTGCATTCCTGGGTCTGAGTCCCGACGTATTAAATCAGAGTCTGAAGCCAGAGCCCAAGAATCTTGACCAACAACTGTCCTGGTGATTGACTTGTACGCTAGAGTCTCAGAACTCTAATTAGAACAGCCTCCTCCATGATTTCCCATTTTCTTTCTGCTGTTGGTGAGTCAGAAGTTACTTCTGTAAGCCAAGTCACTGGCTGCTGGCTGTCAGCTAAGCAATGGTCAGGAGTCTAAAGGAGAGTGTTTACATGTTCTGTGAGCCTTAAACACAACGTACACAGAACGTTCACGGCATTCTATGAGAATTCATAAGGCATTTACTTAAGATATCTTGGAGGCTTTAGTACTTTTGGTTGAAAAGCTAAGCTACACAGTATTCGGAGAGGTATGTTCCTAAGATAAGATGAGCTGAATTATTATGAAGTCAGCCACATTTTCAGATCCAACAAAAACATGTCATGTTCATAAAATTCAATCTTTAATTTTAATCAACTCTGACTAAATGTGAAAACATAAGTGATTTGCATAATAGTGATACACAGCAGATATAATCTTCCTTACGTAAGTACGCATTGTAGCATTAAATATTGGTCAATAATTGTGAAAGTCTTAAAGAATTATGTGTCTGATTACAGACCATTTAATAATGTGGAAAATGTTTGTGATAAATCTTAGTTTAAAAAAAAAAAGGTCTTGGGGGATAGGAGTTAGAGATGCCTCCGTGATTAAGAGCACTGGCTGCTCTTCCAGAAAACCTGGGTTCAATTCACAGCATCCACATGCTGCCTCAAAACCATCTGTAACTCCAATTCAGGGATTTGATATCCTCTTCTGGCCTGTAAAGCATGGTGAACAGGCATATAAACAGGTAAAACACTCATATACATAATTAAAAGTAAATTCTTTAAAAGGTCAGGGTACTGTAAATATAATTTATGAATTATATATGTGTGTGTCTGTGTGTGCGTGTGCCTAAAAATTTTGGCAGGCTGTATAACTACAGCTTAGCAAAAATTAATGTTGACCAGCAATATCACAGGTGAGATTTTTTAAAAATTGCATGATTTTTCCTAAGTATTTTATACATGAAGTTGTTACATTAAGAATAAAAATAGTTCTTTAAAAATTCTACAGTAATACTTTCTTCCCTCTGAAGAATTCTTTTGTGTTGTTTCCTATTGTGAAAATAAGCTGCATATTGACTGCATTGAAGCTCATAACTAAAGCCAAGCCTTGGGAGCCACATGTTTAGAGGTGGCTCTTTGAATGTCCCTTGTACCTTGGGACATTTGATTATTTTAATAATCAAATGGTGAAAAGGCTCTTAGTGAATGGGCAGGCTTTTCTTTGTATGGAGGCAATCTCTGAGACTAGGAGGGCTATTAGCCAATCAAAAAGAGTGCTGTTGACAGAATTTTCTTCCAAAAATGAAAACAGTCAATCATGATTTTAAAATCTGACAGGGCAAATACCTAAAAACAAAAATCACAAAGAGAGTCTGCAAGGAAGCAGATGTAGTTTCAAAACAAGCAGAGCCTTATTACTTTCTCTTTATAAATTAAAAACAAAGGGAAATACTATCCCTGATTTTTTTTTTTCATCCTTAAGATAAACATTTAAGTCAGTGGTTCTCCACAGGGGGGTCATGACCCCTACCTGCATACCAGATGTTTGCATTACAGTTCATAACAGTAGCAAAGTTAGTTACAATGAAATAATTTTATGGCTGGGGGGAGTCACCACAGCAGGAGGAACTGTATAAAAGGTCACAGCATTGGTAAGGTTCAGAACCACTGATTTAAGTAAATGCCGTATGGTTATTGATAATGTTTGGTCAACCATTAGCCATTTCTTTTCATATGAATTCTCTCATCACTTGAAGAAGCACTTGTTATTTTTAAAAAGAAGTTTCAATATAGCCCAATCATTTAAATGTGCTAAGAGCAAAGGGACCTAGTAGTCTCCTAACAAGGGGATTGACTCAACCATGTATGTAACTGCGGGGTTAAGCTGCAGTCCTTCAGAGCCAACCTAACATGAACAGGAGAAGAGGTAACAAAATCAGAAACTTGATTATGGCCATTTTAAAATCCTATGGCTTTAAAGAAATCATAAGAAAGATTAGATAAAGACTACCTAAGATGGGAGAAAGTACAAAACATTATATTTCCAATTTGTGTTTTTCAAGGTCCAAGAATGATCACCTAGAAGGGATGTGGAAAGGTGGTTTCAGGGTTACACCCTCCTAAGTCTGGTTTCTCAGTCTGATGTTAGGAGAATAATGATGTATTTACTCTATACAAACATATTAGGGTTTACTTAATTCTTACTCTCTATACAATTTTTATTGAACTCAAAACACTGCATTGTCATTTGTACTAGAGATTTATTTCTTTTCCTAATTTTTTTTTTGTCTTTTTGAAACATAATCTCTCTACTATACAGGTCTAGATATCTTGGAACTCTATGTAGACCAGGCTGGCCTTGGACTCACAGAGATCCTCCTGCCTCAGCCTCGGAAGTACTGGGACTAAATGCCTATACCACCATTTCTGGCTGAGGTCCTTTTTTTTTATTTTTATTTTTAGGATCAAATGTGAGGGAACTCATCTTAAACATAAGCTAGACACTGTGCTATCCTGGTTCTTTTGGCAATGAAGACAGTTTAGGAAAGTCACCAATGGCAGCTATTTGAGTTCTAGCCAGTGAGCATAAAGGAAACCCTGCTCTTCTGAAGGGATGACTGGCCTGGTCATCTCAAGCCAGTGAGGTCAGCTTTGTAACCTGCAATGGTAACTCTTACCCGCAGGGCTCTTGGACAATTCTGATTCAGGTTTTGTTAAACTTGATGATTTATCTTGGTATTCATTGATGATGGATGAACTCTCAACAGACTGTGGTCTTGTGGGTCCAATGTCTGACTGGCAAGGGATCCCATCACTCGGAACAGACCCAGAAGGCTCCGGCTGGCGTGTTTCCCTTTCTGAAACACTTGGGCTTGACACTGACTGATAAAGAGATATAGGTATTCTGTGGGAGGGCTTTGGGTGATCCTGACACTCGTCTGTATCCCCCGCATCTTCTGTTCCATTTTGCAGCCTGCCAGATTCTAAAACAGTAAATTCTCTGACTTCCTGGCCAAGGGCAGGTCTAGGGCTCTGTGGGAGTTCGTCCTTCACAGCAGAGAATCTCACATGCTTCAATGGCTCCAGCGAGCTTGGGGAAGAGTCATCTTCTAAAGAATGGTCCTTCTCGGAAATTCTTTCATGAATGGTTAGGCCAGGTGATATGATTTTGTTTTTTGGATCAAAGCTGTAATTTAGACGGAGAGTTTCCGAGTCTGTACTGCTGGAACTGGAGTTGCGCTTCAGGATCCCTCTTGGAGCTGCTTTGGCATTCAGGGAGTCAGTGCTCTGTCTAGGGAAAGACTGGTTATCTTCTTTCTTTAAGTCGTTTGATTTGTAGATCAGTCTTCTGGCCTTGGGGATTGGAGCTTTGACTTGAGACCCATTTTCAGGCTCTAAGGATGCAGGTTGCTTTAGTTTCTCTAACTTTTGACTTGAGATATACGGGATAGATGGCTTTTCTTTTGATTCTGACAGTCCACCTGAAAAGGAAAACATATAGGTGATATATTAAGTGGAGAGCAACTCTGCAGTTTTAAACAGCTCTAAGTTTAAGTCTGCATTTATTAAGCAATATTAAAGATAGTGGGGGAAGAGCTTACAGATGCATGTAAAACACCGATTATATATGTATATATATATAATATATATTATATATATATATTATTCTGTGATACTATAATGGTAAGACACGGTATTATATATTTGTCCAAAGCCATGGAATGGAGAATTCCAAAGGTAAACCCTTGTTATAAACTATTCATTGTGAATGACAAAGATGTTTCAAATTAGCCCATCTGTGTGGTGCGGTGGTTGGAATGAGAGTGGCCCATACATGCTCATATATTTCAATGTTTGGTTCGCAATTGGTGGAACAGTTTGGGAAAGGGGTAGGAGGTGTGGCCTTGTTGGAGGAGATGTCACTGGAAGCAGGCTTTGAGGTTTCAAAAGCCCACCCATTCTCAGCTTTCTCTCTCCCTGCTCTATAATTCCAGTAAGATACAAGCTCCTGCTTCTGTCCCAGCACTGTGCCTGCTGACATTCTCTCTCCACGAAGATCATGATCTCAGCCTTTGAAACTGTAAGCAAGCCCCCAAATTAAACAGTTTCTTTCATGTTACCCCAGTCATGCCATCTCTTCACAGCAATAGAAAAAATAACCATGCTTTCGTAGTTATAAAAACCATACCGCCCTGGTGGTAGGTCCTAACCATGAAGGAGGAACAGCCTGTGAGGGAGGAAGGCATATAAAGGTATTGTATATGCCTTCTGGTCAGTAGTGTTATAAACAAACTTTTCTTTTCAAATTGATGCACGGAAAGTTCAGAGGGTGAAAGCATTTTCCACTCAAGTTTGGCAACTGAGTTCAATTGCATGGAATCCATGAAAAGGTAGATGGAGAACAAGTCCACAAAGATGTCATCTGACCCGTGTGTGTGTGTGTGTGTGTGTGTGTGTGTGTGTGTGTGTGTGTAAGTGACACAAAAGCTGAAGAGAGTTTATTTCACGGAAGTGGGAGGACTAACAGGAGTGGGGGTGATGGGGAAGGAGTGGGGATGAACATAAGCAAGATACAATGAAATTTATGTGTAAAATGGCACAACAAGATTATTTGTTTTGTGTTTATATGTAAAGAAATTGTTGAATATATTGCTATGCTTTATTTGCTTTGTGATATTTTATAACTTTTTAGATAGAGTTTTTAGGGGCTAGAAAGATGTCTCTGTGACTAAGATTGCTCGTTGCTCTTGCAGAGGACCTTGGTTCAATCCCTAGAACCCACATGGTGGCTCACAACCATCTGTAACATGAGGTCCCAGGGAATCTGATACCTTCTTCTCAACTCTGAGGGCACCAAGCATGCATAAAATACTCTTTTTAAAACTTTTAAAAAATTTTCTCGAATTAAGTCTGAAAGAAAACACAAATGCCATCTTTAAAAATTGTATGTTAAGCTCTTCTCCTTTCCTCCACCACCGTGCGCCTTATGCCTAGCTTGGCTTCTCACCATGTCTTTGTACAAGACTTTCCAAATCAAGGCGGCAGGCAATTCCTGGCCAAGAAACAAAAGCAAAATCGTCCTCTTCCTCAATGGATTTGGATGAAAACTGGTAACAAAATCGGGTATGAGTTCATGAGAAGACGCTGGAGGAGAACGAAGCTGTGTCTGTGAGGAATCACCCAATGGCGAGACGGACTTCACAGAAACGCTGATTCATGGCCGTGGATACATCCTACCAGAGGGAGTTTTTACATTTTTAACCTGGAGACTTGGTCATATCTAAATTGAGGATGGAGTTTGTCAGTAATAAAATGTAGATCATTTCAAAAAATCATATATTAAAATCATAAATCAATGTTTAAAATAAATTTCACAGCCGGGTGCAGTGTTTCCCAAGCAGGCAGGTCTCTGTGAGTTTGAGGCCAGCCTGGGTTACAAAGTGAGGCCAGGACAGCCAAGGCTACACAGAGAAATCCTGTCTTGAAAAACCAAAATAACAAACAACCAAATAAATAAAAATCCCAATACCTAAAACTAATGTCTTGTCAAAAAAGTTTAGAAAGTAAACAGCTGACATGTCCCAACGACTTTTTCCCCACATGATATTTGTGTATTATAAAGTATACCCAATAGGAAACATATTGAGACAGGCTAACTGAAGCTGTTTCTCATCCTTGACTCATTTTTAGTGAGGGACATCTTCTTACAGTTGCTTTTGAAGGGACAGAATTACCTAGCATTTCCTCTTCCCGGCATGTAAAATTCTGAAAGTGACAAACTCAATCAAACCTCACACTTGATCAAGTGCTCCTGAGCAGGAAGCCTTATCACCTCATCCTGGGGCAACTTTAAATTTGTTTTTTTAACCCTCTTTTAAACAACTGTGTCAGCACAAGGTAGACACGCAAGAAATACTATTATGTGCAAGAGTACATGTCTTTGGTTCAAAAATTTCCCATGTCACTGATGAGAGAGCTCAAAGCGTGGAGGTCACAGAGCAAGTGGCAGTCCTGGGGCTGGAATGTGCAAGACAGTTCAGTTCCTAGCATCTAGACAATGGACACAGCGACAGGAGAAAACCATCAGGACTTCTCACTTTCTCCAGGGAGTTATTTTAGTGAAAGGAACTCTGAGCATTTCCCCCAGTCCACAGATAACAAAGATAAAAATAGCTAGTCCAGGAAAATAATATTTACCCTCTTTTGAAATCTGAAATAAACCAGCTTTTCCAGTTTTTGACTGCTCGTTTTTGGTCTGTTGTGATGAGTGATCTTCTGGCAGTGTGGAGCTGTTAAATGGATTCTTCCTCTGCTGGGGAAAAAATATTGTTTATTAAACTTGGTTTAAATGTCATAACAGCAACCCGGCATTAGCAAATGCTTATGATCTCACATATTTGATAGCTTTAACCAGTCCAATCTATTATCTGCCATGTTTGGGGCTAGGGAAACTGTTTAATTTGGCTATCATGAAATTAGTATAGATCATACAAAAACATAGATACAATTGCGGAAGTCCTTTAAAATTAGATCAGGAATACATTTTATTGGTAAGAATAACACTGAATGCTAGCAAATGCCTTGTCAAGGGCAAAGCAATCCTAGGTTTCTAATAAGGTCAGATTCCCATCAGGGCTCTTCCTACCATATTAGTTACTACACTAGATCACAGCTCTTCGAAGTTTTCTTGCAAGATGACCTCCGTCATTTCGAAGTGCCTCACAGCCATTGCTGTGGCCAACTCTAATGACAGCAAAGGTGCAAGTACATACAGGCAGGCTCTGTTGTTGTTTTGAGACAGGGACTTCCTGCTCAGTCTGTAGAACGGCTTAGGGTTCACAATATTCCTGCCTCTGATTGTTCATATTAATACTGACTACAAATGACTGCCGTTTGTAGTTTTATAAATTGCCAGTTCTCCTGGAAACAGCCCTGTGATAGAGATTCAAGAAGCTATACCTAAAAATAAGGACTGTGGTAGGACTAACAAGCCACATCCAATAGCCTAAGAGCAGCAGCACTGTATAGGGTCTTTAGCTTTTTGAGACAGGGTCTCATTATGCAACCCCAGCTATCCTGGAACTATATATCTAAATAAAGCTGGTCTGGAACTCACAGAGATCCTACTGTCTGTGCCCTTCACCCATCCCAAAGCCTGGAATTACATGATGGGCCACCCCTTGGCTCTTTAAAAAAAAAAAATTAAGGTTTAATTATGTATATTGCTGGGGGTGGGTATGTGAGCCGGTAGGTCCCCACAGATGCATTAGATCTCTGGAGCTGGAGTTCAGGTAGTTAAGAAACTTATGCCCTCTGTTAGAACAGTGAATGCTCTTCAGCGCTGAGGCCATCTCTCCAGTCCTTAGACTTTTTAACTCTTGAGGACAAAAAGAAATCTGGGTGGTTAGCAACACAAACATAATAATTTTCAGCTTTATCCACTGCAGGAGTGACTTCTTAAGTAAATACCCAAATTAGCTACATATGGTATACACAATCAATTACAAAGTTCTCTGTATTTCATTTTGCTGGGATATGTTGAGAAAAATGGCATTCCTGCCAATAATAAGATTTTAAACGTGTGGGCTCCATCTACCTTGGGCAGAGAGACAGCTGGATTCCTTGTGTTTTCCTGGGACGTATCAATCATGCTGGAAGCTGGATCCGCCACGCTGGAACTGCAAAAGAAACAATCGTTCGGAGACTAAAACCTTATCCTGTAAGAACCATAAATCACAGCCCCACAGCCAAGAGTTTTTAAGACAGGAGAGGAGAGGAAGTTTGTAAGATCAACCTGGAAGGAAGAGAGAGGACACTGAGGTTCAGCCAGGATTAGGCACCAAAACACAGGTAACGGTGGAGTAAAGAATGTAAGGGCAGCATGAGGAAGGACACAAGCACCGAGGAAGACCCTTGAAGTTATCCAGGGCACAGGCACACAAGAGGTTCACAATCTAAACTTGCAGAAATTAACTCACTTCAAACTGAATTCTAAGATCACATAAAAAAAAAATAACCGACAATCAGAAAGCGAGCAACAGGTTTTATGGATGAAATTAAGTCACAAAATCTCAATTCCTTGGCAGCGTTTCCCCCTAGTGCATCTGGAGTATAACTGAGCAGAGACACAGTAAAGTATGTGACCTGGCAAAGAGATGGAATGACTAAGTCAGGTAGCTGTACACCAACGCTAATGGGCTGGGGCAATTTCCTATGACCTTTCAACTCAGTAAGTTAATAGATGAATTCTTACTCAAACCCAAAGAGCCAAGGACCAAAGGGCACTGAGAAGGTAGGGGGTAGATGGCTGCAGCTGGTTTAAAGACGTGCAGAGGACTCTAATCCATGAGAGGTAGGGCAGCCCCTGGGTGAAAGTAAGACAAGTGTTCACAGAGAATGTTGAGTTGAGCAGGTCACTCCCTTGACTATGAGTGAAAAGGAAAGTGGGTCACAGAGTCCCAGGGGAGGAGGAAAATCAGCTTGCTGAGAAGGCCCGCTCCACTAGCCTTGCCTTAGACATTAAAAAAAAAAAAAAATGAAGTCATTATTGGCTGGAGCCACTGTTCCCTATTAATCTCCACCAACTTGTAGTGACATCAGAGTCAAGAGCGTGGAAAAATCCTCTGAAGGTGATGGCTTTTCCCCACATGGCAGAGGAGCAGAAAGCACAGGCAAGGAAACAATTCACCCTAGGGCCATGGAATGTAGCCACTGCCACTAAACCCCAGAGCTAGCTATTTCATGGCTTCCTTTCCTTATTTCTGTACTCGAACTGCTATTCTTTTCCACAGCTAGTCCCCAGAGCCCATTAAGCTCTTTAAAAGGCCACTCTTCCTTCCATAGCATTCCTTATTGATCTAAAAAGTAAAGTACAGCATATGAGGTGTCATTTACAGCCCCATCACACAAAGGAAAGCAATGCGAAGGTGGGATGTATAAAATCGAAATCACGGGAAGAACTTAAAATGGAACGAGAATTTGGACAGAAAGAGACCTTACAGGAAATCTGTTCCTTCACTCGGTGGACACAAAGCCAAATTAAGCTGTGTAACTGCAAAGTGTCAAAAAAGAAGCATGGTCACTGATGGAACTTCGTATTCACACAATGAAAGGCCAACAGCTTAGAATTAGGAAGCAGTTTCTCTCCAGCGCCATTTTAAGAGGAGGCAAGTAGTGGAAACCCAGCCAACTACCCAGTGCTTGTGAAGCCATGGATCTCAGAGGAAAACCTACAACTGTCACTATATAAAACTAGCGTAATTCCTAACTACATTCTAAATATTTGTCCTTATACCCATAGGTAAGTGTGTTCTTCATCCATCTTCAAGTGAGGTCCTTTGCAACAGACTGTGACCATTAAAGAAAATCATAACATAACAGAATTGTGGAGCTGAGTCCCAAATGATATATACACAACACGACTCCTGCACCATAGACTCAAGGATCACTGTGGAAGAGAGAAAGACTGTAAGAGACAGAAAGGAAGTTTGCTATAAGGTTGTCTCTTAGAAATGCCAGAGGCTATACCAGTAAAGTTTTACCCATGTGTCTGACTAACCATGAGCTGAACAAGAACATCACCAATAGACATATTAACACAGACAAGAGAAAGCCCATCCATACAATGCCCACCTTGCACAATGCCCACCCCGCACAGTGCCCACGCTACACAATGTCCATCTACACAATGCCACCCGACACAAAGCCACTAAGGAATGCTGAGAACAAGAGAGAATCTTCCCCCAGGGAAGAGTATACCAATAAATTATCCAATACTGAATGGTTGGCCCTGAAAACATAGACATACAAACAATAGTAAACGGTCGGAACAGGTTACATTTATGTATTTAGGAACACACACACACACACACACACACTTAAAATGCCCCACGAATTTGAAGGAGAACAGGGGAATACACTGGAGGGGTTTGAGGGAGGAAAGGGGAAGAAAATGTAATAAATTACTTATAAAAAGTACTAGTACAAAATACGAAGAACAATGCACAGCAGATGCCCGGTTCAGTATAAATGATCTCCTTAGAGAGTAAAGCAGCTGGATAATCAGAGGGCCTGAGCCAAACACAGAGGTTGGGTCCTTTCTACTTCCCAAAAGGATAATTAGGACCTCTCTACTATTTTCACTGCAGCCTGGGAATTCAACTCCTGTGTCCCCAGGCTCTAGAGGCCTAGGTTATACATCCTGATGACTCTCCTCACTAGAGATAAAGCCACTCTCTCCCTTACTGAAGTCTGTCTTGGAATTCTCATGTCAAACAAAGCAGTTGTCCTATTCACGTGACTCTTGGCTATTTCCATTCAACTCCCCACCTCATCATCTGCCAAAATCAGCCCTATCATTTTCAAGCAAAATCCAAACCTCACCTCCTGTAGCATCATTTGTCTCATTATGACACATTTTATTGGGACTCTGGATGAAGAAGTTGCTCCCTGCTTGGTACTGCTTGCTATCACGAGATCAGATCTTTACACAGAAACATTATCTTTCCTAAGATTATAACCCCTTTATGGCCAGATACTGTGTATTTGTCCCTTAGAATTCCACTCCTCCTAGAGAAAGGCAAACTGTGTCATGAATATAAAAGATAGTCATTATATTCCAGATGAGATTTTTTTTTTTTTGAGACAGGGTATCACTGTGTATCTCTGGCTGTCCTGGAACTCTCAATGTAGACCAAGTTGGCCTTGTACTCACAGAGGTACACCTGCCTCTCCCTCCTCAGTGCTGGAATTAAAGATGCGAGCCACCATGTCCAGCAGCATGACGAGATTAGAAATCCTGTGCTCTGCAGCTTTCTTTTTCCACACAAAAAAGGGCCTGTGATATTTGAAATCACACTTAGACAAAACTGGCTTATTAAGATGATTAAAATATTAGATGTTGCTGGGCATGGTGCAGACACCTTTAATCCCAGTACTCTGGAGGCAGAGGCAAGCAGATCTCTGTGAGTCTGAGGCCAGCCTGGTCTACAGAGCAAGTTTCAAGACAGGCAGGGCTCCACAGAGAAACCCTGTCTCAAATAACCAAAACCAATCAAACAAACAACAACAACAAAAAAAAAAAAAACTACAAAATGTCAATCTTAGTTCTAGCACCAAAAAGAACTACAAATGATTATTTTTTATTTTAAAAGTTATTTCAAGTCATTTGGGGTGTTAAGTTTCTTGGAGGCTACTGTTGTGTGTCTCCCCCATAATCTAGTACTTTGCTTGGCATGTGGTGGTACTCAGTGAAGCTTCAACAAATAAACAAACATGGAGAAATAACCCAGAGGCAAACAAAGGGAGTGGATTAGAAATTATACTTCAAGCCTTTCAAGTCAGCAGTGTTTTTGTGAGCACACACACTGCTTTGCACACTATAACTCCACACATGCCAGTCTTGCTGAGCACAAATATTCCCATCTAAGCCTGAGTCAGTTTGATGTGCTTATAGAACTTTTACTATCATAACTGAGTAGAGTAAATCTAAGATCTGATAAGATTAAGTATTCTCTTGAGAGCTCAATATAAACAGTTTTGTGGGCCAGGCATCTTAGAAATGAAATTTTATTATAACCAGATATCCTATGAGGGGCTGGGGGAATTCTCAAATGCACTGTCTCATTGATTGGCTCATCCCTATTTAATTCAAGAACAAGTTTCTATCTTACACTGATCCTATTACTGGGGATTTTAGCAAGTATCTAATTCTTCTGGTAGAAGGAGATATATACAAAAGCCTTCCTGGAAAGAAATGATTCATGTAAAAAGACAATAGTATTTCAGAGCTGAAGATGAAGTTGGGATTTATTGGCTCTTTTTCCACAGAGGGTAAAGGGGAGGTTGGTGACAGAGTGAGCATTAGTGAAACACAAACACTGAAGCCTGACACTTTGGTTCTCTACGCTGATACACAAAAGAGCACCTAATTCTTCCCAAACCAAAGGTGAATGGAATGCTGGGAAGTTAACCACCTATTTCCTCACCACCTCAGATGAAAATGTTTCAATGTAGGGGAACTATATATAAGTTTATATATAGGTTTCAATATAGGTTCACTATGAAATACCGTAGTGAACCCTAGTCAACCTCAACTCATTTTGGAAACATTTTCCAGAGAAATTTCAGCTAATGGACAAGTACATCTTGACCACAGCCAACTTCCATCCTGATTCCATGCCTTCCAGTTTTCCGTTTTCAGTGTTCCAGACTCGGGATTATGCAGATTCGAGAGGGCAAACCTCCTTCTTCCATCTTTCTCTGATCACCAGTGCTCGCAACACACACACTTGGTGTTACTGGACACTTCCACGTCCTCACAAACAGCACAGTGTCTGTCTAAGTTGACCTACAGTGGGCTCACGTTTGATCCTCTCTCTATTCTACTTCCCAAGTAAGAGAGTCTTAAAAACAAAGCTATGCAGGCTGGAGGCTGTTGGTTTCATTATTACCCATAGTTTTAGGTTTTCTTACTTTCCTTCCTTCCTTCCTTCCTTCCTTCCTTCCTTCCTTCCTTCCTTCC